AAAAAAAAAAAAAAGCTTGAATGACAATAAATAATAGAATTTTAAGTTCTTTTGACAAGTTTTCAGCACATAAAAATATAACACTAATTTATTTTAAGGCATTTAAAAATAGATATTAAATTACTTTTGAATTTTAATATACGTTTTCAATTTTTAATAACAAGCTTTTAATTTCTGAAAAAATTAGCTAAAATATTTTCAGTGCACAGAGTAAAACAAGAAAATTAACGTAAAACTGACGTGGATATTAGAAGTACTTAATGCTGAAACAAAGCAATCATGAATGAGCGATTTTGCGCCAGTCTTTTCTCCACTGCAACAAATCAACGAATCATAAGCGTCTCACCCATTTAGGATATGACACGTGAAATAAGGTAAATTGCGACTCGTCCTTCATAATTTCCGCTCAATTTTTTAGTCTTTTATTAAAACAAAGCTGACATGAGTAACATTGCATCTTTATTCAGTTGACTGGTACGTGATGAATTCTATTTACAAAATTTTTACTCTAACACGTCATTTGTTGTAGTTAAGAAATAGACGATGTATGCGTATTTCTCATTCGATAAAGAAGGCATTATGAACTAAGCGATATCTCATCTCTACTCTCATTAATTAACTCTTGCATTAAAGATTATCAAGTTACCTTACGAAAATTATTGGAAGAAAAAATTTTTTTCGCATCTGATTACTATTTACGATATTGTTTGGGTAGCCATTTTCCTGCAAATTTGATCTCATATCAATTTCTTCAGAAATTTAACTCTATTTCGAAATTGTAAACGTATTTCTATGTTAGGTATATATTTAAAAAGAATAATTAAATAATTTCTCTAAATTTTTTAATATTTTCAGTTGCATAAAATGTCAGAATTCTCGGACTGGTACCGTGGAGTACCAGAAATTACGCGATATTGGTTTACGGGAAGCGTTATTTTACCATTACTAGGACGATTTAATTTGTTCAGTCCATATTTAATGATTCTTGAATGGGATTTATTTTTCTACAAATTTCAGGTTGGTTTTATAATATAAAATTAAAATTCATTGTTACAATTTAATTTTAATTTTGTTACATTTTCTTTTTGTTCATTTTAACGAAAAAATTTTGTTTTGTTATAGAACAAATAAAACATGCAATAGCAAGATGTAATTAATGATGAAAAATTAATGACATACGTGCACCACTCAAATTAGTATTACTCAGCAAGTAGACAACAATTAAAATATACACTTCTGCGCAAAAATATTAGCCTTATAGCTTAAATATTATAGATTTGGTTCCTTCGAAATTCTTCTAACATAGAAATATTCACCACAATCTCTTGTGCTAAAATAGTATAAAGAAATCGTTGTTAATACTCAGTGGTAAATAAGAATATGTTTTCTTTTGCTCAGGAAGATAAATACGGAAGACATGCATTTCATAAAGCAGCTATCAAACAATGAGCTTCTATAAATGTAGACTGTTCAAAAATTTAAATATGCAATACATCTGTGCTTTATAATAATAATTCTTGTTTGTTCACGCTGTTAGACTCTAAGTTCTATAATTATAATTTGTAATTAGGTATTTTTAACTGAACTTAAGTATTAAATGTACGAAAAGTATTCCCGTAAATCTATTAAAAATTGCTAATATGTTGAAAACAAGCTTTTTATTGTGTTCTTCCTTCAAATTAAGCAAAAAGAAAATCTGCGTATTTGTACATTTAATAAATAGCAGCCATTAATAATGTGTTTATGAACATCGTTTTTATATTTATTAAATTTTTAGATATGGCGGCCATTAACGGCCTTATTTTATTACCCATTGTCGCCCTCCACCGGTTTTCATTGGTTATTGATGCTATATTTTTTATATAATTATTCGCGTGGAACTGAAACTGGAGTCTTTGATGGTCGGCCAGCAGACTATCTCTTCATGCTCATCTTTAATTGGATTATTTGCACTGTTAGTTTTGTTAGCTTTTATAGAAGTCTACTAAATCTTGCTGTTATTTATGGTTAACAGTACTTTCCAGTTCGCAGGCATGCTACTTCTTAGTATCGATCTGGAATATTATTCATGGAAATTGTTTCTGCCAAGAATTTATGCCAAATCATGCTAGAAAATCAACTTGATGATCTTTCTTGTGCTAATTTATAGATCATATGCTTGGCAGCCAGTGTATTTTTCCTGTTGGAACCTATGGTTTTAAGTGTTTTATACGTGTGGTGTCAAATGAATAGAGAACAAATCGTGCAGTTCTGGTTCGGAACACAATTCAAAGCAATGTATTTGCCGTGGATTTTAGTCGGCTTTAATATTATTCTCCGAGGTGGTAGTATAAACGAATTTATTGGGATACTTGTTGGCCATACATACTATTTCTTGATGTTTAAATATCCGCAAGATTTTGGTGGTCGTTCATTTTTGAAAACACCACAGATCCTGTAAGTCATATTCCGCAATTTTCACAAATTTTTGCTTTGATCTCTCATTTTACTATGAATTTTCCTGTAATTTGCTGCAGTCGAAAACTTGCTGTATTTAAGTGCAAAACCGGACAGTTGTTGAAACTCTCTTACTGATTTTAATAGTATGCTTACCTACTTTCTCTAATACTGCGTATTGGCCTACAAATTATGTAACATGAATTTTCGATTAAATTCAAAACTTCGAAACGAATGTTTGCATTGCAGTTATCAATGGTTTCCAAATCGAAGGAATGTAGTTCATGGATTTGGTCAAGCACCGTCATACAGAAGGCCTACAGAAGGTAGTGGGGGAGGAGACACACATCACTGGGGACAAGGGCGACCGCTAGGTGGTCCGGACTAAGTCTTATGGATTCTGTAATACTTTCGGTCCAGTTATCAATACTTGAAGATACTTTGCGATCAAATAATTCAAAGCATGCAGCGTTTATATAGCAGTTGTGGTCCACTGGTTTCTTTAAATTTTTAGTGGGACATGGCTGTTTAGCTAGTACTGCATACAAATAATTAAATCTTTACATTTGCGTAATGATCATCGTGTGCTCTATGACTATTCTTTACGTCTTTATTATGTACATTTGACCTGGTTATGAAATTGCTTGCTGGATGTTATAAGTAAATTATTCAAACATACCGTTTTACAGTGAATTTGAAACCATTAATTAAAAGTGCTACCAAGAAAAGAGTAGCAGAACATTAGGATTTATTTTATATTCTCAATTAAAATATGGTGGCAGATAACATAAAAACACATGCAAAGTTGTGTGCCATGAAAAAGAACCTTGTTTTCTTAACATTCTAAACAATGAATGAGAGCAAATGTAAAGGCGTGAATTAGACAGTGTCTCGAGACAACATTCAACAGAATAAGAAGACAAAAGCTGCATGATATAAACATGATGGAACGTCAAGAATCCATATTTCCAAATCAAAACAAGATAAATTATTTGGTACCATAAAAGAAGGGAGGTTTGGGAATAGGTGCTTGAGAATCAATGCAAAAATTAATACGGGGAGATGGTAATCGTGAGAGCATTGAAGCAGAATTTGTTTTAAGATTCTATGGATTCAGGTAGGAAAATTAGTAGGACTTAATATAAATATTCAATATAAATCTAAACTCCCTGAGGGTCCATCTCTGTATCACGCATTCCTATGTTAGACTGAAGACATACTTCGAAATGGACTACAATGAAAGAGCATAAAGATGTTTACAACAAAAATGAAGACACATCTTTTATTTTAGCGCTTTAAAACATACTTGAGACTAATGTCAGAGAAGAAAGCAAATCAAATAAATGGGGGTATGCATGTAATAGTAGACATTAAAGTTCTAGTTTCGAAACAATTTTTCGACAAAAACAAAAAGATATTTGCTCACACAAGTGAAACCATAATATTTTAAGGTACTTGAAAAACGAGGTAGTTGAGTCAATTAATTCAACGGTGGAATTGGTGCAATAATGTTTCTTGACGTTCCTTAAAAACTATTATAGAAATATTTACTGTAAAACTTGAGTATGCCATAGCAAAGCACTGTTCGAATCTCCAGCTCTAAAAGTTATATAGGTCGCTGACTTTCTGAAAGCAAACGAATGATGACTAATAAAAAAGAATTTAGAATTTGTGCTTACCTCTTGGTTACTTCATTCAAGTTTTTGACTTCCTTAATTTCTCTCACACTGTAGACATTGCAATGAATTTGCTTCATTAAGACAAATTTGGTGATACAAATGACCTGCAAACATTCTTGAAGGAATAAAATTGGTTTCGTAACAATCAATCAAAAATTTCTAGACTTATATCTTCTTACAAACACAATTTTAATAATTCCATTTTGGCTACTTTCCTTGAATTTCAGAAAATGATTCTTAAACCCTTACCGCACCGGAACAATGTAATGTAGCCATCGTCTTGTGTGACGCGCATCTTCAATGGTAAAGTGCAACAAGGACAATTCCTAAAATTAAAATGAATGCTTCAAAAATGTCGAATGTCAATTCAAAACAGAAGTGAATAATAATATAATAATCCACAAAAAGCACTAGAAAGTAAGAGAAAAATTAACCCATCGATAAAAATTTCTATTCCTCCATCTGAGTTGTTGATCTCATTACGGATAGAGTTAGAAAATGATGCAGATAAAACTGATCCAACATCTTCTATTAATGAAATTCTTAATTCTGTTAACAAATCAGCAATAACCTGAAATATTTTCAAGCAATGAGAAAACTGTAGCCTCACCTCATTGAAAATGTTACTTCTCATCGCCTTCAGTTATAGGCGCATGCATAGATTCTCTACAGGTATTAATCAAAACATATAACTATTATTTTATAAATAAAATGCTTCGAATATTTTACATATTAATATTTTATATTAGAAGTATAAAGTTATTGCGAAGTCAATACTAAAGTAGTAATAAGAATTAGCATACTAGTGCATAACAAATCGTCTTCTAAATGGTAGTGGTGTGAAATTATTCTTAATACTATTCCATCGGTCCACATACAACGTAAACATAAAAATCGTAGCTATTTAGGATCCAAATCTGGATATGAAAAATTTATGAAATACCTCTTTTGGCATCAAGTAACATGCTCTATCCAGTTCGTAAGCCTTCATAACAAATAGCCACTGCCAGTCCTCTGCAGTCAAACGTGACACCAATTGTTTATTATTCTTCAAATACTGGAAAACTGTTTCAAGCCCTTCGCAGTAGCGCATGCAAAGAAGTAGCTACAATAAATGCAGAGTTTTTAAATAACTTACTGCAGTCTTCCCAATAAGTTTTGAGAAAATTAATAGATTTCGTTATTCTAAGATGAGCTAGAAAAAACACTTAATCATTATAAAAGCATTATAGAAATGACGATAGAATGTCTACATGATTCATATACCTGAGAAATCTTCAAAGTCGATAACCATAAGAACTTTTTTGGACATTCTACATTCTGCTTCTCTTGCGAAATATCAAACCTATTATTGTCGGCATCTCCGCAAATTAGAGAGGACCCTGAAAATTATTTTCATGTCTCACTGTACTAAAATTAAAAAAAAAATTTCAATGAAACCAGACTGCAAAAAATAAAGAACGCGAAATACTAAAGTCATAAAAAAATTACTAATGATTTCTCTTGAACTAACTTTTTGAAGGTATTGCGTCATCTGTGAAAAATAGCTGATATACTAAATTACTATCCCAAGATCTGATCGTTTCCTGAACTTCTTTTTTGAAGTCATCTTCCTCTATATTTGTTCCTAGCTTCTGCTTAATCAAGTCTTGAAGTGATGAAGATTTATTTTCTGTAAAATAAAAAGTAGCGTGGAATAATCACACAGTAATTAAATTTTTCGTACATTAAAAAGCAGTTTTTTTGATCACATTCTATTCCTCTGAGTTTACCAAGCAATATATTCCCCTTCATCAAACTGCATTTGACGAAATCATCGATTAAATACAATAGAAGTTAGCATGGTAATTGAAACTTACTCAAATGACCGTCAAAGTCAAAAAATGATAAACAATCTTCGCAAAGGCTCTTGACAGGATTTTTTGAGTCCACAACAGCAATATAATAATCAAATAAGTTTGACCATTGTCTCATTCCAATGGGTACACCACCAACAGCAAAACAGTCAACGGTAACGCGTAACTGACACATTTTTGGGCCAAATATCATTACATAATGCCAAAGTCTGAATATCAAATAACAATTAAAATAATGAGGACAAAATTTTTGTGATTAACACGTGAAGATAAAGTTGAAAATATTTCACAAGTTGCTAAATGCTTTTCAAAATACGTCAATCTTGATTTTGATCCTATCAAGAAAAATCTCGACTGAAAAGATCATATTAACTTTAAAACTTTGTCAATTATGGCATGTCTAAGAGAAGGTTTAACCGACTTATGTAAGTCGCAAACTGGACAATAAACTGAATCTTCTTCAAGCAGATTTCTTGCTTCAGATGATGATAAAGCTGCTGGTGTGATAGTAACTTCGCTAAGTTGCATAAGACCTTCATCTTCCTCATCGTCATTTGATAATATAGTGTCAGAAATTTTATTATCAGCTAAAACATCTGCCTTTATTTCAGTACTCATCGTCCAAGTTACTTCAATCGGTCGAACAACCATAAAATTTTTCTCAATAACATAGCTTTTCTCCAATGACCTAAAACAAGTAGTCATTCCTCTTTATCTACTGAATAAATGGCAACAAATAACAAGCAAAAAAAGCTAGTTACATGAACACCCAAAATATTCTTTTAACTCCGACCTCATATCAATCTTCAATGTTTGGTTCAGCGATCCATGTTTTGACTTTTCAACTCCATTGAAAGTTTCAGTGCAGTTCAGACTTAAATTCTTATTCGATGCGAGATTATGATGCTCCACTGAATGTTGCTGAGAAAACTGTATATAATGCTCTGATTTCACAGATTCTTTTTTTGACACTAACTGCAATTTACTTATCATCAACACTAAGTTTAAAGGGCAACAATCAAAAAACTTAAAACAGTTTATCTGCCATGCTTGAAAGATAGATAAACTGAACTACGAAACTAATACTGATATAAATTAGACTAAGTAGAAATGAGAATAATTCTAATGTTTGAACATCAGTAGTGAAAAAACGACAAAAAAGTACACTTTTCTTTCCTAATGGTTTAATTCCTTTTACGATTCGCGCTCCTCGCCTGGTTCTTCGAACAGTTTGAAGACGAGCTACATTGACACTCACACTAGATGGAAGGCTTTCTATACATCTTTCCAACATTTGTAGAGGATCGGCGCGCCCAAACAAACTCTCGAAATCAATCTAAACAACAATGTTTTTTAAACTGATTTTTCACATTATTTATACAAAAAGCGATATATATTCATGAATCGATATGTAAATTCCATTAATAGTTTTAATGAAATGTAAAAATCAAAGATGCAATGCGAAATAATTGCAGAACTACTAAATCAGTTTGTTTTGTTTATTAAACTGTAATACAGTTCATACTAATTTTTGTAGCAAAATTTCACCTTAACTATAAATTTGCAAATAACTTTTTTCACTTATTTCATCTTAAAAGTAATCATGTTAATTAACTGAGTATTTGTAAAAATTTAAAATTTAACAGAAAAGTGGAAAAGTTGACCTCGACGAAAAACAATAAATACCTCTAAAATACATTGAAATCATGCTAACAAATAATAGCACGAATATGGAGAGATTAAACTATTTAACGATTTATTGCAATTTTTTTTACAATTACACATACGACATTTTTTCAAATGAATAAATTTTTCAAACTATTTGAAAAATATATTTATGATGAATAATGCTCATTTTTCCAAATGAGAAGCTTACTTGCATTGTGCGCTGTTTTTGTTCTTCTTTTATTTTTTTATAGCTTGTTATTAATTGCAGAAACTTTTTCGCAGCATCCAGATCCTTGATGACATCACTAACCGTTACCTTAATGATTTCAAAACATAAACTGATACCCTTATTTCTTGCAGTCAACATTTTCTGAAACCATACTTTTCATGGAAACAAGCACAAATAAGCTCGTTGCTATGGACAGTACAGTTCGAGTAAACTTAGGCTCGACATGAAAGTACGAAATATTTTCCAAACATTTTATTCACATTTTACTAAATTTATGAGCAAATAAAAGATTGTTTGTAAAAATATGCAGTAAGATTTAAACAATACATACAAAGATTTCCAGAAATTTCAGTAAATTCCAAAAAATATACTTGCTGATCGAATAAAACCAAGGTATTGGAAAAGTCTAGTAATGTTTGCAGCGACTCGATTCCACCATCTCGTACTAACTCCATAGTCGGCTCTTTGGCCTTATTCAACTGCAAGTAATTTGGAAATTACTCAACTTTAATTTGGAAAACAAAGTAATAAAAAATTAAAGAAATTATTTAAAGACATGGAATCTTACTAATAAAGTTTGAGCTCCCTGTAATAATTTTTTGCGACGCTCTTCCGAATTCTGAAGCTCTAAGTTATCTACATCACTTCTTTGCACAGTCAACTGATTCAAAGGTAAACTTCTCCGTTTCCAGGTATTTCTGCTGATTATAAATTGCATTAATTTTTTAATATAAGTTAAGAGATCAAAGATCTAGAACACCAATAGCAGTAAAAAATTTTACGATTCCGTTCGTGGACTACTTCTGCTTCTTAACCGCAGAGGCGAAGGTGCTCTAAAAGTGAAGTCATCCTCATAACCACTATTTTCACTAGTTTGAACAACGCGATGAATGCCTTAAAAAATCTGCCCTATATTAAATGTAGGACATCAAGAAAAAATATAAACTTAAAATTGCGAAAATTAGAATACCTGAATTTAAACGATGAACTGCTAGTTTTGGTGCCTGATCAATCACGACGTTATCCTTCGTCTCCTTCAAAAGTTTACGCAAGGTGTCATGTATATTCTATAACACGTAAAAGTCTATAGCAAAAAACTAGGTTTATATTATACTTGAAGTAATTTCAAGAAAACCCTTACATTAAGATAGATACACGAAAAATCATTTAATGACTTCGAAATATATTAGTTTCACTAGAAATTTAAATGACACACCTGCGATCTATAATGCTGCAATATAATTTTGTTCAGTATGTCTTCCAGTAACTTGTGATCCCAAGAAAATGCTGACTTATTCAGTACGTAATCTGCGTAAATTATTTTTGCAGCCTGGAAAGAAAAAGGCAACAGTTTCAATTCAAGTTCACGCTTCATTTACACAGATAATTTTCAAAAAAATAGTCTGCATTTACACAGATAATTTTCAAAAAAATAGTCTGATTAAAATTAATAAAACAATTGATATGCCTGTAAGTGACACTGTCTCCAGTGAAGTTTTTCTACAGCCTTTTTGAGCGTCAACAAAGTCAGTTTCCGTAAACTACCTGTTTCAGATGACAAAAGAAATACATCTGTATCGTTTACAGCATATTCATTGACTGAACCTGAAATATATTAACAGTAGGTTATGCTTCATTTTCAGTACCTCCAAAGGCGATCAAGTTGATATGCAAACAAATAAACCGCAAAGTTTACCTAAAAAATCTGCTGTACTCACTAATACCAGATGACTGTCGGTGGGGTCGATCAAGCAAAATGAAGTGCCTGCTTTTGTCATCAGAAATGAATTGCTGAAACCACACTTTTGATGCAATATTATGAGCTGAAAACTAGACCAACATTTCAAATGAACAGAAACAGTTTCGCTTTTCGATATTCCCGCTCTTTCATATCTTTTTATGCATAATCGAGGTTAACATACATACTTATTATATCGGATCAAACTCAAACGTCCAAAATCGATACTTCGAATTTCCTCACCATTAAATACGCTGTCTATTGTACAATTATTTCTGAACGAAATAACAGGAAAACGACAAAAAGTTTTCAGATTTCGATATTGGTGAGTGCTGCAATAAAAAATCTTAGCAAGAGTCAGCGATATGTTCTATGATAAATCGAATTTATGGTGAAAAAAATTTTATGCAAACAATGTTCAAGACCTGTAAACAACACCGCGATTATTAGCTTCCCACAACCGACCGTTTGGACGGCTTGCGAATATCGCTGTCAAATCGTTAGATATGTCTGTACTTTGCGGTACTGACTGACCATTTTTTGCCATACAATTTTCTTGTTGATCAGTATAGAATACAGCACCAAGGCGACCTCTGCGTAATTTTTTTCCTACCTTAATTGACTAATAATATAATTCTGAAAAATTTTTCATTAAGTTGAATAAGACTATTTCGGATAACAAAAGATAAACATGAGATGGACAAAAGAATAAATGAAAAAACTTAATTGCTAAATTTATATGCATAAGATAGCAAAAACACTAAGTTATCAAGTATTTAACAAATACTAGTCATTTGATTTTTTATTTATGAAGAACCCAATGATTAGTATTTGATAAGACATTTTCCAAAAAAAAAAGCTTAAAATATGATTTTCAACCTGGAATGCTTTAACTATTTAAACTCAATGCTTAAATGACCTGAATACAACTATAAGTTTTTAGATTGCAGATACAGCATCTTGTCATTGTAGAAGCAAGCAACATGTCATCACGTAAATCGAACTGAACAATTTCGCTGTCTGTTTTAAAAATTATATTGCTCGGAGAGCGAAAAAAACTTCGCTTCTGAAATAGCTCATTCAGAATTAATAATGACAGTTTGCATTAAAAAATGTAAAAAACCATTTTTAAATGCAGGATTTGAAAAAACTTACATTAATAACAGTCCGACTGATTTGTCCTTTCGTGTCTCCGGCATAGATTTTAGAGCTATCCTTGCACCAACATAGTTCTGTGACATAAGCTGGCTGGCCATTTTCATCTGCAAAATTATTAAGATTTAAAATCCTACATACAAAAAAGGTAACCAATATGTGCAGCGGAAATTTTCAAATTTTTCATACCAGTGTCCAATAAAAAAGAATGAAAACAATAATGAAACTCAAAATCAGAACGACATAACTCAGTAATGATGGCAACAATCTTAACACTTTTTTTTTTTTAAGTTTTGAGCATTTCACGAACTTTCACGAACCAAAACTAAATAGAAAATGCAAATCTCAGTTTTGAACATCACTCTTGCTATCAGATTGTTATGCTGTTACGATTTTCGAGCCAAACAATATTAATGATTAGTGCTACCTCTGCTAACATGAGAATCAACTGAGAAAAGTATGGTAGGATTTTGGCCAATACCAGTAAGAGCAGTAATTGTCAATGAACCTCGCTTGCTTGCAGTTGCCAAGTATTTCTCATTAGGTGATATTGATAACTGGTAATAAAAAGAAATCAATATAAACTGCTGAAGTTTTTATGAGATTTCACGAGTACATAACATGTACTTACAAGATCTTATCGAGAGTACTGAGTTAATTATCTCATTGTAAAAGAGTAGAAAAACAAAACTTGCAAAATATAACAACAAAACTTAAAAAACATAAGAAAAAAAATTTGTAATCCAAACAAAAAACCTTGACAACAGGACCATCCTTGGTAGAAACTACTTGAATCGGAACTGAACTTAATCGACTCCGATGTTTCGAAGCAAATCTTGAAAATAAATAAATGGTTCCAGTTGTAGAGCCAACAGCTAAATAATGCGTAGATGCATCCAAACAAGTATACTGAAAATTAAAACTTGGATAAGAATTAAAATTTCCAAAAAAGAGCTAAAATTTCAATAGTACGGTTAAAATCGAGAGCACTTAAACTTGCTACCTAAAGTCTGAAACTGTAGAATGCATCTTAGTTTAAAAGAAAATAAAATTTCATGAACTGCTGTTAGAAAAGGAAGAAGTACGCATATGCACCTGGCATATATAAATAGTAAATTGAAAGTCAAATCTTAGTTTTATAAGGATTATTTTCAAATCTTGTTCATTTTTAAGAATATAAGTATGCTCAATCAGATTCAGAAAGATCATTTGACGCATGAGGAAGCATGTTTAATGAAGTTAACTGAAATGAAACTAAATGCAGTTGTGTAAATAACAAGCAGTAAAGGAAAATAGAAAATGTATGCAACTAACCCACATAAGTTTATGATCTAAATATTAAGTCTTTAATATAATACCTTGATTCTAGCGGAGGAACTGGTCGGAAAGCTTAACTCATCTAGCGATGTGAGCTCGACAAAAAGGTGGGTGACCAGAACATTGTTGGCACTGTTATCTTCTTTTTGTGTTTCCGTTTTTACAGTTTTGTATTCTATAACTTCATAAACGATGTTGACTTGATTACTAAACAAAAATATGCAGATGAATCCATTTTACAATAATAAAGATCAAATTTTATTTTGTAACTAACCTTTAATAGCAGTTTCGCGTAGAATATCAGTTGCATAGCATGTTTTCATTGTATTTCTGTAAAAAAGGAAGCAATTTGTCTTCGAAAAATGACAGCTCAATCATTTCCTTTAGCAGTGAACAGTTGCATTTCTGACACATTAGAAAACGACCTATCGATAGTGCTGCTTTGCACAATATTATAGTTACATAAGAGGTATATTCAAGTTTATCACTGAAGTGAAAATTAGTGAACACTGCCTAATACTTTCCGCCACATAGAGACTTCACAAATTACTTTGCACCACTTATAACAGAAATTCGTGACATGTTAAATATAACGACTGAAGGATTATTTTTCACTTTACCATAAAAACTACGCATTTATGCCAAAAACCACACTAAATACTTTACTGACGTAGAGAAAAATTTTTAATATGAAAATACCAGTACGAGAAAGCAATGCAAAGTATAAGAAACATAAATCTTGAACTAACAGAGAGGATGTGAAACACATCTGAGCACTCACACTTAACAAAGTATTACAAAAATAGTAGGTAATGTAATTCTGCGCAAAAGACAGAAGCATTATAACGTTTAGTTCATGTAAGAATGAAGTAGTTGCGCACACAACGTGGAAAAAGAATAGAAGAATTGCTGGAAGTAAATCTTCACCTCATTTAAGAGACCAAAACTCACTGACTTGTTTGTGAAACAAATGAGTTTCACTGAAGCCTTAAGAGCTTAGATATGCTATAAATTGAAAACAATCAGAGTTAGACCACAAGAGGCTATTGTGCTGCAATCAATTCGCGAGTTCTAACAAACTATGTTAGCAATTTTTGATTTCAAATTCCACTAGTAACTAATAATTGAGACGTGAAATGCGAGTAGAGTGAGTTTCAGATGGAATCAGAAACTACGAAATGTTATGGGATTATCCGTAATGCTGCATCGATGCCCCTCATTTCATGAAATGATTCAATGTAAAAGATTGATTGCATTGGTATCGCGCACGCATTTCAGAAGATTGTGTCGGCATCGTTTCCAAAGATTCTGTCGGTATTCTTTTTGTCATTTTGGTATATCTCGGAAAGGATTGTGTCGGCATTTCTAATACCATTTCAGTGCTTTTCTGAAGGCTGTGTTGGTGCCCCTCACGTCATTTGTTAAAGTTGTGTCGGTATCCTTCATCTTTTTTCGGTACATTTCGGACAGTTAATGTATCCGTCCAGGGGGGATAATTTCGGTACATTTATGCAGTAAAAGGAAAGAATGCTCCGAAAAAAGGTAATGCAGTGATACACGACTGTGAGATTGTATATGTTTTTTGATTCTGCAGAGGTATATTTTTGCTTGCGATTTGATGAGGAAATGGTGTCTTCGTAACGTCATTATTATGTATTACTACTGTATCGAATCGGATGTGCTATTCGTGAACTTATTAGAGTAATATGATTAAAATTCACTATTTTTTTTGAGTCTCTTTACGTACGTGTTGAATTTTTTTTTTGATCTTTTAAAATTCACCTACTTTTTAAATGTAAATTATGTCGCTGCTAGATTCAGCCATTCAAAAAGAATTGAAGGTAGGGCAAATTCGTAAACAGAAATCTTCCATTGCATTTGACAAATGTGGAGAAAGCGCAGTTGTCTTCTCTTAAGACGTTCTGTGAAAGATTGTACCAAGGTATACACTGATAAGCCAATGCAAAAATCTTGAAGTCGTTTCTCGGCCCATTGGCTGAGATAAAGTGTAGTATCTGTCCTTATCAGTTTAATCTCTGATATGTGACTCATAGGAACCCTACGAGATTATTAAAGCTGCTCCAGATGGTAAAAACTTTATCAAGGCAGGGAATGAAAATGCCATAAGCTTAAACTATTACAATGAGGTGCTCGAACTACAATCAGATTACAATAGAAAACATATATTCATTCTTTCTATAAAATGAGTTTACAAAGAAGTTACGCTATAATAATAATATCCCACAGTTCCTGTGATCTGTCAAACACAACTTCAACAGAATCCATAGTCTTAGAAATCTATAAATTGTGTGAAGTTTAATAACTGTAAACGAAACCAAAATAATTCAAATGAAAAATATAAGCGCAAATATCAAGACCTGTTTCATTTTTGTTTGCATCTTATCAAGCCTTACTTTATCAATATGACCGATAAGACGTTGAAATATTGGGTGAACTTTCATACGTATGTTTGTGTGTGTTAAAATATTTGCTTAGTGGTTTATTTTCACCCTTTGAGCAACTAATTAACTAATTAGTCAGGAAACCAAATGCATCTTAACACCTGTGCTTCAAACTGGAAATTCTTTATGAACAAAAAAACTATGAGTTAAAAAGATTATATATATATGTATATATATAATTTGATTGGTAAACAAAAGTCATTCGCAAATATGAAACACAAAAGTCACCTACAAGTTGATAGAAGAGAAGTCTCGTTAAGTCATTCATATACTCTTCTAAATGAGAAAACAACGCATCAGATTAGCATATTTAAAAATTTTGTTGTATTTATGTAGATAATAACTGTGAATGTCATAACTTCACTCTCTTGCATCCTCAAGATGACACGAAGTCGCGTTGCTAAGAAAGTTTATATTTATCGCATGCGAAAATTTCTCGACGTTCTCTCTAGATCATTATTCATTTCACTACCAATTACGTCGCTATTACTATCAGTTTCACTTTTTTTATTGCATGATGATGGTTCTTCAAATTCTTTCCACATGTTACTTAGCAATTCTGATGATCAGGCAAACAGTTTCAAGTGTGAACCTCTTTTTGGTAAATTTTACAGGTTTGGAATCATGAAAGATACGTACTGACTTTGTTCATAATTTTCATGCAGTGCGAAAAATCTTATTATTAATTTCAGCCGT